ATAAGGAATGCTTAGTTCTCCTTCCCAGCCGATGTGGGATCAGATCTAACCCACTTTCACCCCCCATTATAGGGTTCGACGTCCCCATCGAACACATCGACCCGTGCCCTAGCTCTGATACCAACTTGTAACACCGTGAATTTCAAAACAATTTTTCATTTAAAGTAATCGTAAATTCTTAGAAACACTTGTTTAAAATCTCATTTATAATTGAATTACAAAAAACAAAACTCCTTTTTCGCTTGCATAGAAAACCAGGATCCTCCAAAACATGACTCTTTCTCTGGTGTGTACAATCAAGCTGGTGCCGTCCCGTGATACTGAAAGAAACCTGAAAAACAACACAACACAAAACACTGTAAGCACGAAGCTTAGTGAGTTCCTCAAAATACCACACATAACACATATTAGCCACTCGAGGCTATAACTATGTGGGTCCGTGCACCCAAACTCTGTGAACCCTCAGGTTCTAACTCTGGGAACCTTCCGGTTCCAACTCTAAAAACATGCACAACATAAATCACGTAGAAATAATGCAGTACAATACATCACGTACATATAGCATACAAATACTCTGATCACATAACTCTGATTACCTACTCAAGGTAAAGTATAGTGAGAATACTCACCTGGCAAACAGAAAGCAGATATCCCCACACTTGAATCTCGAACCCACCACCGCCTAACACGTAAGGCAAATACTCTCATGAATATAACTCTCGAGACTAGAATCAACCCTCTCATGGCACCCTCTTAAGGGTAAAAGACTATTTTACCCCTCTCTTGGCCCAAAGGCCACATCGCTGACTAAGCCTTAAAAGTCAACGGTCAACTCTTGGTCCAAGTCAAAGTCCTCCGTCAAAGTCAACCCTCCTGGCTGACCCTGCTCGCCAAGTCAACCGGTCGACTCGTCGAGCTCCCATGCTCAGAACTTCCCCAATCTGCGACTCAACTCGCCGAGTCACCCCGAGACTCGCCGAGTCCCACAACTCTGAGTCCACTCGCCCACAACTCACCGAGTCATCCCTCGACTCACCGATTCTCGACTCAACCAGAGAATATCAGGACCCTTCGACAAGACTCGTCGAGTCCAAGAACAGACTCGCCGAGTCTACGGCTATCTTCAACCTACTCGCCGAGTTGTTCATACAACTCGCCGAGTTCCAGGCCATCTTCATCCAACTCGTCGAGTACACCCATGTGACTCGCCGAGTACCACCGTTCTGAATCCATTCAGAAGCATTCTAGGCCATGCAATTGCTCCAAAACATAGATCTAGTCTCCTACCACTCATCCATCACGTAAAGTGGCAAACTTTACGTGAATCCATGGAGATCTAATCCGTTTGCACATTGGGGCTAGGGTTTGGGACATGTAAGCTTCACTAAACACTCCAATATAGGGACTTTCATGCACTCTAGACCTTCTCCCTTCCAGATCTGAGGTAGCAACCTCAGATCTAACCTATAAACTCCAATACATCCAAAGATATGATCTCCAACACCCCCAAAATGATGCTTCTAAGAAATAGCAGCTCAAAAAAACGAGATATTACCTCAAAGGAATGCCCCAAAAGAAATGAGACTCGAATCCAAACAAAGCCCCTTGCTCCAAGCCTTCAATCTTTCAAAATTCCTTCACAAATACATTCTCCAAGCTCCAATCCATTCAACAATGGTGCTTCTTCGTGATTTAGGGTTTTCTAGGGCTCAAGGGGTGATAAAGAGGCTGGGAGGGAAACATAATGATCTTTATATAAGGCTCAACCCCGAGAATTAGGGTTTTCTCCACACAGCGCCTACTCGCCGAGTCCATTACACTGACTCGCCGAGTCGGCCACTTAACACGCGACCAAGTCGCGACTCTACTCGCCGAGTCACTCTTTCACAACTTACTCTTTTAGGCCCTTAAACTCTACTATTGATATTTCGGGATGTTACACAAACTTGGTTTAAAATCACAATGAACAAGTTGACACCTGAGTACTTTTGCCTTCTCAAAGGCCTATTTTTGAATCACAACACCTGATATTCTGAAAGTTTATTTTATAAACTATTGTTTATATATTTTAACATTTTACTTAGTAGGACATTAAATTAATAAAGGAATTAAGGAAAACGAAAAAAAAGAGGACGATAAACAATACAAGTGGTTTGGGTATGTATAAATGGAAGTAATAACCATTTAGGGGTGTCTGGCAAAAAAGCTTATTCCTTATTAGTTTATTAGCTTATAAGTTAATAAGTAAGTGTAGGGTAACTTATGAAAAAATGACCTATTAGAGGTTCCTTACCTGAATATGTTATTTTAATCCAAACACTTTTTTAACTTATAGTGATGTGGAACCTAATAAGTTGTTTTAAAAAAGCTTAGTCAAACATCCCCCTTAATATGGTATAGTAATGCTCTTGAAAAATAGATGTCATTTAATATTCATTTCTCGAAGTGAACGCAAAATGGTTTTAACTCTAAAGAGATCAAATTATTCGCCGCCCGCCGCTTTGCGCGGGTAGACGGCTAGTATATATATATATATATATATATATATATATATATACACTAGCTATTTTCCCGCGCAAAGCGGCAGTGACGAATATTTTCTTTCAAGTAATTAGTTCCATTCGGAGATATGTTATATTTCTAAGAACACTTGCACCATTATCGATCGGTTTCACAAAAAAACAAAAACTGTGCAATGCCAAAACCAAAAAATATTGTGGTGGTGGATTCCATGGAGGAAAAGGAGATGAAGATTTGAATTAGTCTCCAGTTAACTATATTTTATGCAAAAAATTAGGGAACTTCAATTTGAATGAGCTTTTAAATTTCAAACGATTTGTCGAAAAGAAGTGCTTCAGATTTCGAATACACAAATAGCAGAGAAGATATATTTTAGGAGTACAAGTTGGGTCAAAATTAATGAAAATACTAATTTAATCCCTAAAAACAAGGAAATACTAATTTAAATGTGTTTTTAATACTTGTATCCCTAACATTATCATTTATAAGATATATATTATAATATTATTATATTAATAATTGGTTGTACTTTAAGCTTAAAGAGTTGAACATCTTAAAAAATATTATTATTATATTGATTCTATTTATAGAAATAGTAAGATTTCTTTTATAAGGTAGTATATATATATATATATATATATATATATATATATATATATATATATATATATATATATATATATATATATATATATATATATTGTAAATGGCCATAGTACTAATAATATTTATTTTAATGTTTGGCTACAAAATTAACGGTTTCACTAAAATTTATAAATATGATTGTGTTAAAAAAAAATCTTAATAAACATGCCTCCTAATTATATTTAGTTTAAAATTAAAATTTGGAAGAAACTAGTGTTCATAATTTACATAAAGTAAAATCATGCACGTATTTATTGTTTTACATGTCCTTGAGTTAATATATATATATATATATATATATATATATATATATATATATATATATATATATATATATATATATATATATATATATATATATATGAGTAAATTACACGAATGGTCCTTATGGTTTGGGGTAATTTGCACGTTTGGTCCCTAACTTACTTTTTTAACTCGGAAGGTCCTTACAGTTTGTTTTTGTTACGTGTTTGGTCCCTTATACTTGCTTTTGTTACGCGCTTGGTCCCTGTCTTACCTAAAAAGATTATTATTTGATTATGGAAAGATGATCGATAGGTAGGGTAAGGTGAGTGGAGTAAGGTTGGAAGTGTGTTTATTTAAATAAATTAAAAAATCAAGGGTAAAAATAGTCTTTTTAGGTAAGATAGGGACCAAGCGTGTAACAAAAACGAACACTAGGGACCTTCCGAGTTAAAAAAATAAGTTAGGGACCAAACGTGCAAATTACCCTAAACCATAGGGACCATTCGTGTAATTTACTCTCTCTCTCTCTCTCTATATATATATATATATATATATATATATATATATATATATATATATATATATATATATATATATATATATATATATATATATATATATTATAAAGCTTGGTGAAAAATTGTTAAAATTTCAATAACTTTAGTCTATTTAAGGTAATTATTTGATTACTCAAACCCAATGGTTTGATATTAGCATAGTGTACAATATTAATAGCGAATTTTCATTTTATGTATATTTCGATTCCAATAATATTTCAAGGCAATGTCAATATTATTACATGTCACCGACAGTTGAATGAATTTTGATAAGCATCCCAAAGACGTAAGACATGCACAAGCTTGCCATCGACGATTGAATCTTAATAATTAAATTTGTTGGTAAATATCCATTTATCACTAATTGCCAAAAGGACATGGTATTGAATATATGTCATACTACATTTATAAAATCCGTATTTGTTTGAGAAAAAATGTATGATTTGATAAACTTACCAAAATTAACTATGGGTTATGTAAAGATTGTGCCAGACATCTCTTACATGGTATTGCTCCTTGACTAACGTAGAGAAACCCTAGACTTCTCGTCCGATACTATATACTTCTCCAGTAAGAGGTTAACTTGTTCTTCTACTACTAACCATTTTTCACGAAATCAACATCCAAGAAAATAGAAATATGCAAGTTTTCTAGGCAAAGGAAAAGCATATTTAAGCAATTCAATAGCACAACTACACAACAACCATTCAACGCTTGTATTTGCAATTCTAGAAGTTCGCATCTTGGATATGATTCGATGCACTATGGCCTACAAGCAACCAGCTCACCCCATCAATAATAGCGACTCGGTTAATCCTCATTGAGCAAAATGTGATAGTAGAGAATCAAGTCTGACTTTAATGTAGAAGGAATAATGTTTGCAAGGAAGTAAAATTATGCGAAACCTACTTCCTTCCTCACAACGACAACTCTATTTCCTCTCTCGAACTTCACAGTACATATATGTTCTCACTTGTTAAAATCCGTTCTATTGTTGACATTACAATTTTTTTTTTCAATTTTTTATTACAGATGCTCAGATATACATTTCATAGATACCCTTCATCATCATTGGCAAATGATTGCATCACATCAATGGTCGTGGGACTTGAAGCTAATTTATATAATCATTTTGTGGGTCTTCTTTGGGGCAATGGTGATTCAGCTTATCTATCTAAGGTGGATTCTCCAGTTGATACCGAATGGGAGTCTTTATGCGCTATCCTATTAGACATTTTTGGGAGAGATAGGAAAAATCCTCAGATACATTCAGGTTCATCATGGGACTTTCTTGTCAACATCAGCTTTCATGAGAAATATTCTAAATCTCATTTCATGAGTGGATTTTCTCGTAGAATATCACTTCAAAGTGATCAATCATGTATTGCTTCTCAACACCTAGATACTTCCCACACAGTTGCATCTTTATTAGAGATTATTGATTTACTGCATGCAGTGTATGAAAGTCTGAAACTTAATCAGCTTCGTAAAAGGTACCCTTTTCATTTTCTTTGTATTATTTCCTCTCTACCACTTGATTCATGGAAGTTATCTCGTCTATCCATGCTATTTCAGGGATCTAGGGCTTCTTGTTGCTCTGTTATTGAAAGCTGCTCAGAGGTTTTTAAAAGATGGTGAAAAGGTTTCTTTAATAATTCATTTGATCTCTCTGTGTGTTATTGTGGGTGTTTGTTAATTGAAATGTGATGATTTTTATCATGTACTTTTTGGTAATTTGACAGGTGAAACTAATAGTGAACTTGAAGGGACGTGAAAGCGAGTTAAAAATAATGCGATTGATCTTATTAGACGTTTCCGTGATGATGTAGGGGAGGTATGTGTATGTGATATGACAAGGGCGTTTGCATCTTTTTGCACAACGTTGTATTTTGAAAAATATAAGAATATTGTAATGTGCAGCTAGCGATTGAGGAGAGCAAGAATTTCAGGGACAGGAACATGACATTGGTGTTGGTTCCAAACAAAGTTGTTCTACAACAAAAATAAACTGTATATAGTCAGTGTTAGTGAGGTCGAAGCACTCTTTGAGATATTCAAGAGCATAAACAGTTTTGTAGTTGATGATGGACTAATTAGCAAGGTTCTTTAATTAATTATGTAGATAAATACTAATTAAATATGTATCTCAATACCACATGTTTAATTAACTATATAATATAAATGCAGGAAGAATTCCTACTAGCTTTATTCAAGAACGAAAGGAAAAAGAATCCGTTTGCAAATAGGGTATGTTGTACTTGTTAATTTACTAAATGGAGTAATTTATACAAATAATTTCATTAACTAAGATGAACCCATTATAAGTGAAATTAATTTGTCATGGCAATTGCATATGGTATTATATATATTAAGGTTTAAATTAAAAGTTGCATATATGTATTATGTGTGTAGATTTTTAGTCTTTTTGACGTTAAGAATATGGGAGTCGGCGATTTTGGTGACTTTGTTAGATCACTTTACGTGTTCCACCCTAAAGCTCCACTAGAAGACAAAATCAATTGTAAGTCCAATTACAATTCTCCAAAACAACAAATAATTAATCTCTTTATATATATGTCAGCTTATACATATGTATAAAGGATTATAATTCAACTCACTCAAGGAGCAGAAGAAGGATTAATTTGCAGTGATATTTTGAAACAAAATAATAATAAAACAAGAAATCCTTATCTCATGCAGATGTGCTAATAAGTGAAGTGATCCTACGAATTGTTACTCAAGTTCAAAGCCTTTTACAGCAGAAGACTGATTTGTCCATTGTGGAAGTTTTTAAATCAAAACCTGGTCTATAGTTTTGATCAAAGATAATGGAGGAAATTAAAGATTCATATGCTGTAGAAAGAATATCTGAGCAGCTTTTGCAAAAACTAGCAACTCAAAACCTAAATGATGTTGAAGGTTACTGGATTCTTTGGTTATTGTTTCACCAGATTTTTGAACTCCAAACATCCATCAGGTCCATGTTTACAGAGAGATTTTTACTCTGGAAAGTGTTCCCTGTTTGTTGTTTAAGATGGATCCTTCAGTTTTCTGTTCTTCAATCCCCTCCTGATACCACAGTCAAGGGCAAAACTGGAAATCATCACAATCTATTGGATGCCACTCAGCGTGTTCTTGCAGTATGGTCAAAATGAGAGTTTGTACAGTCAGCACCAGTAGAACAACAAGCATGTATCTTTTTTTTTCTTTAAAAAACTTTCAATTTTTTCTATTTTACACTTACACCCCCCTGTGATTCCTTAATTTGAGATTCAGATTTAACAGCAGCAATTGGGCTTTCCTTAAAAAAGCTAACAAAAGAAGATTTAGATGGTACTAAGGATGTAATGCACTTGATTCTTCAAGGGGTTAGCTGTAAATATCTTTCCCTCTACTGTAATTAATAATTTTGGTTTTCTTTGAATCCCTTATTTATTTCATCTTTTTTTAATGATACCAGGTAGGCTTGAAAACCCTTCTCATTTTGTACGCAAGATATCTAGCAGTGTTGCTTTAGTCTGTTAATATTTGGTTGGGCCTGTTGCTTTTGTGTTTCCCTTTTCTATTATTTCCAATTACATGTATAGGAGGAGGGGTGAATCATCAAAAATCTCAACACAACATCAGATGAACACACCCACACAAATTAACCAATCTATTTCTTTTCTATTTTAAAATTTCATTTATCTAACCACAATTTAATAATTTAATTAGTTAGTAATTCGGTGGGCTGGTCTAACCAGGAGTTATCTCTGTTGCATTTGCATTCAAACATGTCTTTTATTTAAACCATTTATTTTAAATTGTTCATTTTTAATCAATTAATTAAAAATCAACATCTTTTAATTGTTTTTTTGGTCTAAATGAAGAAGATATAGAGAATTGGTGTTGGTTTGATGCTATTTAAAGATGATTAGGTCATTCAAATAGTTTTTGGACATATTTGCCCATGTTGCTGGTGGAAACTAGCTTGTTGTGCAGATAGCCAAAGATTTTAAGGCTCGTTTATGCAAATTTGGGGACTTTAATACTCCCACTTGCTTATAAGGTACTTCTAACATTTGTTGATTGTGTGATTAATAAAAACTTATTTTGTTTCTTCTAATGCTTCAGGCCCTTACTTGCCATCCATGCTCGGTGGACAGCCACCCATGACACCAAGTCTAACACAAAAGCATATGATATGAATTTACCTTCTGTTCAAGCTTAACCTTCTTTCCTTCCCCAAGAATCTCCAGTAAAGTGTGAAACTTTACACATACAACATCAGAACACCTCATGTTGAAGTTGTAAGAAACAAAGAAATCGAAGCATCACTTTTGTTTTAATTCAGATTCTGGGATAAAAAGAGTCCTAAAGGTATTTTTGGAATATTTAGTTTTTCTAACTTTTATGCGGAGTCCTAGGGGCTACAAAAGGTGCTGGTGTTAGTGATGAAAGACAAGGTTCAGATTCAAAAAGTGTTGTAGAGAATTATGAAAGGCAAGATGCAACTTTACTTAGTTGGAATTTGATGTATGGAGTAGATTAGATGCAAATTTAGATATTGTAAGAAATAGAATTGTATGACATTAAATTTTATGCAATGTATTGTATTTTTTGTATATATGATATTTTATTTCTATTATGAGACATTAAATGCAAATTTAATTTAAAAATTAATAAATATATAAATATATATTTTTTAGGACATTTAAAATTATGATACGCAAAAATGTGTGCCATCTTCATTGATGACACGACCTTTCTTGACAGGGGCTTTCTTGCTACGCATTGCGTGTCATAAACACGTGCGTCGTAAGGTTAAGACACGCAAATGTGTGTCGTCTTCTTTTATGACACGACCCCAACTTGTTATGGCTGTGGAGAGGCGGGTCATTTTAAGAGAAACTGTCCAAAGACCACAAATGCTGGAGGAACTGGAAGGCTACTCGCTATCGGTCACAATGAAGCGGTAGCAGATCCCACAGTAGTCACGGGTACGTTTCTTCTCAACAACTCCTATGCTTGTGTCTTATTTAATAGTGGTGTAGAAAGAAGCTTCGTAAATCATAACTTTAAACACTTACTCAAACAAACCCCTCAACCACTAAAAGAAACATTCGTCGTAGAAATGGCTAATGGGAAAACGGAAAGCTCTAGCAAAATCTACATAGGTTGCACTCTCATGTTAGACGATCACTCATTCCCAATCGATCTTATGCCAGTCTCAATCAAAAACTTCGATGTCATTGTTGGTATGGATTGGTTGAGCCTCCATTGCGCCGATATCCTATGTTCCGACAAGGCCATTCGTCTGAACCTTCCAAATCACGAAACCCTCTTGATATATGGAGATAAGCCGAGTACGAGCCTTCGTATCATCTCCAGTGTTCAGGCTCAGAAATACTTACGCAAGGAGTGTCGCGCCTTTCTTGCCCATGTCGTCGACACTAACCAGAAATCGAAAGATCCAAAAGACATTCCCGTAGTATGCGATTTCCCTGATGTCTTTCCGGAGGATCTTCCCGGCTTACCTCCCAAACGTCAGATTGAGTTCAGAATCGACCTAATTCCAGGAGCTACCCCCGTAGCTAGGTCGCCCTACCGTCTAGCGCCCGCCGAAATGCAAGAACTATCTGGCCAACTCAACGAACTGCTCAGCAAGGGCTTTATAAGACCGAGTTTCTCACCTTGGGGAGCTCCGGTCTTGTTCGTGAAAAAGAAAGACGGATCGTTTCGGATGTGCATCGATTATAGAGAACTCAATAAACTCACGGTTAAAAATCGCTACCCCCTCCCTCGTATCGACGATCTGTTTGATCAACTACAAGGAGCAAGTTACTTCTCCAAGATTGACCTTAGATCTGGGTATCATCAGTTACGGGTACTTGAGGAAGATGTTCCGAAGACAGCTTTCCGAACCCGCTACGGACACTTTGAGTTCGTAGTGATGCCAATTTGGACTGACCAACGCCCCCGCAATATTCATGGACTTGATGAATAGAGTGTGCCATCCATACCTGGATCAGTTCGTCATCGTCTTCATTGACGATATCCTCGTTTACTCTCGGAACGAGGAAGAACACAAGGATCACTTACGACGAGTCTTGGAAACATTGCGATCCGAAAAGTTATATGCGAAGTTCTCTAAGTGCGAGTTCTGGATCCGAAGAGTCGAATTCTTAGGTCACGTGATTAGTGAAGAAGGAATTCATGTGGATCCCTCCAAGATTAAAGCTATTGAGAACTGGTCAGCACCGAAGACGCCTACGGAGATTCGTCAATTTCTAGGCCTCGCTGGCGACTACCGTAGATTCATTCAAAACTTTTCTCGGATTGCGAAGCCTCTTACTATGCTGACACAGAAAGGAGTACCGTTCGACTGGGAAGAAAGACAGGAGAAGGCATTCCAAACCCCGAAGCGAGCCCTATGCACCGCACCAGTATTATCCCTTCCCGAAGGGACAGAAGATTTTGTTGTATACTGTGATGCATCCAACCAGGGGCTCGGTTGTGTCTTGATGCAACGGGGTAAGGTTATTGCATATGCCTCGAGTTAGGAGCGGTTGTTTTTGCACTAAAAATCTGGAGACACTACTTATATGGGACAAAGAGTGTGGTGTACACTGATCATAAAAGCCTTCAACACATAATGAACCAAAAAGAACTCAACATGAGGCAGTGTCGATGGGTCGAGCTACTTAACGATTACGACTGTGAAATTAGATATCACCCGGGAAAAGCCAATGTAGTAGCAGATGCACTGAGCAGGAAGGAGTATACTGGTCGAAGGACCAAATCGTTGACGATGACTATCCATTCGCACCTCTCCACACAGATCAAAGAGGCTCAGCTGGAAGCCTTAAAGCCCAAGTACGTGTTGGGAGAATCTCTGCGTGGAATGGATAAAAATCTGGAGGTTAAGGGTGACGGAGCCTACCATTTCATGGACCGAATCTGGACTCCACGCCATGGAGGTCTTAGAGATTTGGTTAAGAGGGAAGCGCATAACACTCGCTACTCCATCCACCCAGGTTCAGATAAGATGTATCTGGATCTCAAAAAGCTATACTGGTGGCCAACATGAAAGCAGAGATCGCCACTTTGTGAGTAAGTGCCTTACTGCGCGAAGGTCAAGGTCGAATATCAAAGCCTTCAGGACTCCTTCAACAACCTGAGATACCAGAATGGAAGTGGGAGCGGATCACAATGGACTTTATAACCAAACTTCCCAAGACAACGGGTGGATTAGATACTATTTGGGTCATTGTCGATAGGTTGACTAAGTCCGCACACTTCCTACCCATCAAGGAAACAGACAAGATGGAGATACTCACTAGAACATACGTTAAAGAAATAGTACGACTACATGGCATCCCTATCGACAGAGATAGTAGATTCACCTCTAGGTTCTGGCAATCGTTGCAAGAAGCACTAGGGACAAGGCTGGACATGAGTACAGCCTACCATCCGCAGACCGACAGACAGAGTGAGAGGACGATTCAAACCTTAGAGGATATGATGCGAGCTTGTGTAATTGACTTCGGTAAGTCATGGGACACACACTTACCTCTTGTGGAATTTTCTTATAATAATAGTTATCATACGAGCATCAAGGCAGCCCATTCGAAGCCCTCTACGGCCGCAAGTGTAGATCCCTCTGTGCTGGGCTGAGGTGGGTGACACTCAACTAGCTAAAGGAAGAGTTCCTGATAGCTCTCTCACTGGTCCGGAGATCATTT